GAAGCTGCTGCTGGCGACGGGCACTGATGGCAGCTACCTGCTGCGGGACAGCGAGAGCATCCCAGGAGTCTACTGCCTCTGTGTGCTGTGAGTGCTGCTGGCCCCGCGCAGCTGCCATCGCCCCTCTGGGCTGTGGGGCTGCCGAGGTCGGCGGGGCTGGGAGAGGGGTGCCAGGATAGTCAGGTGGTAGCTGATTTCCAACCTTTGCATCCACAGTATGGGGTGTTCCTACGTAACAGTGACAAAATATATCCTAATATTACGGTTTGCAGACATGTGCGAGACTTTTGGCTCCTTCACCTTGACTTAAGGCAGAGGGATGCGTAAGAGGTGAGGGGTCCTTTGCAGAGCAGAGAGGAGCAGGTTTTGCCTCGCAGAGCCCACGCTTCCTATGGGCATAAAACAGAAAGAAAGCAGGCCTGGAGCACGTAGGAAGAACGAGCAAGGTGCCACGGAGAAGAGCCAGGCAACTTGACTCAGGATGGTGTGCACTGCATCTTTGTGCCGGATAATCCTCTTGCTTTCTGCCTTCTGTGTTCTGCTTCTCTAATGCTCTCATGGGTGTGCTTAGCGACATCCCCAGCGTCCCCTGTCATTGGGAAGGGTAGCGTGGATTGCTGTCACTCAGAACATGCTTTTGCTTCGGGAAGTTCTTGGTCAGGGTGTGTCCCCTACGAGCCACTGGGCTTGGAGTAAACTGTCTGTAAAGTACATGAAATACTGATGGGTAATGAACTAAGTGGTAATGTTTCACCAAATAGGGTGAAAGGGGAAAGTTCTGATGGGATAGTCTGTCAGACGGAGGGTAGAGAGGTTTCCCTGAAAGAGCTGGGGGACTTTATAGCCATAGGACCTTGTCTTAATGATGCAATTTAATTACCCTACTTTTGGCAAAAGCAGAAGTCTCAGAAGTCCTGAGAGATAACCCTGTACAATGAAGTACCATTGCATTGAAAGAACAAAGATGTGTCTACCAAGGCTAAACAGACACTTGCGCCTTACTTCAGTAGGAGAAGGAATACAAGAGAAAACCATTTTAGGGCTGGCAAGAATTAGCTAACAGAGGGCACTTAGATACCTGGCAAAACACAGAAGAGGAAGAAGAGTCCTAAGTCAGGTTTTCCCCAAATGTCTTGAATACGTTTCCAACAATACGTAATTAAAGCCTGGGTGAGCGTTATTATTCCCCTGTTGTAGACTAGGAAATGGAGGCATGAAAGAAGGTTATAGATAATCCAGAAATACACAACCTTCTTTTCAGGGAAGATCTTTGTGGCAGAAGATGTATTTTTTCTTCTCTCATGAAATCAGAAGGTGATCCAAGATAGGCACTACTCCTAACAAATACCTTAACAGCTAGCTGAAAAATGGGAAATAAGAAGCATCTTGAGTTAAATGAAAATGGAATAGACATAGCAAGAGGTAAGGAGCGCTATGATTCCTGTGATGGGAATAGGCAATAAAAGCAGAACCTCTTTTAAATAACCATCAGAGGAAATAGTGATATATCTCCTTAACACTCAGAAGTCATTCAGTGCAGGTGAAACACTAAGGCGTTAGAGAAAGGGTCAGGCAGAATGTCACAATGCTGAATAAAATAGAGAATCCTAAAATTAGTCCACCATTAGTCTAAATCAGGGTGTAGGTATGTAACAAGGTCTTTCATCTGCACACAATCAGTTGGGATTTTTTGCTATATTAGTGGTAATTTATGTCCTTTGGAAGAAATTTCATGAATGAAATAAAATATATAAAATGAAAATAGGAAGAACAGAAAGGATTGCTAACTATGAAGCTCTGCAATCTTTGGAGGAAAAGAAAAGATACTACAGTAAGAAACAGAACCCTACCTAATTGTTTCTGGAAATTATGGGCCACTCATATCTTCATGTTACATTGCATTCGAACACATATATGATACGCAGAGGGGTAAACGCAAACAATATCACTAGTGAATGTTATGCAGGCTTCTTATAGAATATAGATCCTCAATAAATTTTTAATAAGGGATTTTTTCAATAGCATCATGAATAAATCCAGATAAAAAATTAAATGAAAAATTTTATGATGTGTATGATCTGATATAGAGAGAAGTGTGGCTGAAAAATGCTAGAGCTAAACCTCGGTTCCATTACTTCTTAATATTTCAATTTAGAGCATTATGTAAGAAATAGCAGGTACAGTAAACAACATATCACACAACAACTTTGGAGACAGTTATCATAAAGATACCAGGAAATGGTCTCACACTGAAGGTAGCAATGACAGCTTAAAGAAATGTGGGTCATAAACTAGGGAAGTGCTTTGACAGGTGTCCTGGTTTTGGCTGGGATAGAGTTAATTTTCTTCCTAGTAACTGGTGTAGTGCTGTGTTTTGTATTTAGCATGAGAATAATGTTCATAACATACTGATGTTGCAGTTGTTGCTAAGTAGTGCTTACCCTAAGTCAAGGACATTTCTGTTGCCCACGCTCTGCCAGCGAGGAGGTGCACAAGAAGCAGGGAGGGAGCACGGCCAGGACAGCTGACCCCAAGGGCTATTCCATACCGTACAATGGCATGCCCAGTATAGAAACTGGGGGGAGTTGGCTGGGAGGGGGCTGATTGCTGCTTGGGGACAGGCTGGGCATCAGTCAGCAGGTGGTGAGAGATTGTATTGTGCATCACTGGCTTTGGAGACAGTTATCATAAAGATACCAGGAAATGGTCTCACACTGAAGGTAGCAATGACAGCTTAAAGAAATGTGGGTCATAAACTAGGGAAGTGCTTTGACAGGTGTCCTGGTTTTGGCTGGGATAGAGTTAATTTTCTTCCTAGTAACTGGTGTAGTGCTGTGTTTTGTATTTAGCATGAGAATAATGTTCATAACATACTGATGTTGCAGTTGTTGCTAAGTAGTGCTTACCCTAAGTCAAGGACATTTCTGTTGCCCACGCTCTGCCAGCGAGGAGGTGCACAAGAAGCAGGGAGGGAGCACAGCCAGGACAGCTGACCCCAAGGGCTATTCCATACCGTACAATGGCATGCCCAGTATAGAAACTGGGGGGAGTTGGCTGGGAGGGGGCTGATTGCTGCTTGGGGACAGGCTGGGCATCAGTCAGCAGGTGGTGAGAGATTGTATTGTGCATCACTGGTCTGTCTTGGGTTTTATTCCTCTCTCTCTGAGTTACCTCTTTTTTTCATTACAATCATTATCATTATTGTTATTATCATTATTATTATTATATTCTACTTTATTCCGATTATTAAACTGTTCTTATCTCAACCCATGGGTTTTACCATTTTCCGGTTCTCCTCCTCATCCTGCCGCAGGATGAGGAGAAATGAGCAAGCAGCTGCGTGGTACTTAGTTGCTGGCTGGGGTTAAAACATGACAACAGGCAAAGGTTTACTAAAGCAGAGCGCTTTAGTCGTGAGATTGGAGGAGCAAGTAGGGAAGGCGTGAGAGATGTAGACATGTATTCAATGGAGGATGCAAAGCCTGGCTTTGGCAAAAGAAACCAATGATTGAACCACACCCAAATTCCAGTCTGAACATCATGCACAGAGATGAAAGAGGTGGCAAGCATGTACGTGCATGACAGCTTTGATAAAAACTGAGGGAAACATGCAGTTGCTGTATTAACTGTTTAAGAAAAAGAAAATAAAAGAAAAAATAAGTACTTCTCTGCTTTTTTATACTTCCTTCTAAACACATAATGGAAATTATTAGGAATAACAAAGTTATTCAACAATTTACATTTCGGTTCAGAATCTGTGCTGAAAAATCACTCTAGGAATATCTAGATATATGAAGATTAGACAAAACATACTTTTTTTGGAAGAACCGAAGTGTTCTTTGAAACATGAGAAAAAAAGCTGATCAGCCATTAGATACATTGCAATAAGTATCAGAGCTGAACAAAAAATTTTACATCTTTCCAATGACAATTTCTAACAGAAGTGAAACTGTTTCATACTGCCAGCAATGTTTCTATTGCTTTTAGAAAAGAAAGAGAAAAATAATCCAGTTTTCCAAAATGAAAACATGTTCAATCTGCCTCCTTTCCCCTCTCCCTGCGCTTCCCTGGAGAAGTAAAACAAATCAAACTTGATCCCCCCCCCCGCACCCCAGATCCAAGCATTCTTAGAGTTCTTTTTTTTTTCTTCCAATGAGGGAAAAAGGGAGTTGTCAAAATTAAAAGGCAAGGTTCTGATGAAAAGAAAAGAAACATTTATCGAAAAAGTCATTAAACAAATATTTGGATGACAATACTGTCAGCAGCTTGACCTCACACAGGTGGCCGCTGGGCATTTCCAGCTCCAGATACAGTAATCGGTAAGTCCTGTGATTGCCACTGCATTGCTTAGGCTCAAACAATGCCTCTTTTTTTTCCAAGAAACTGCATAAATCTGTAATGCCCCCACCACCACGCCTCCCCCCCGGCACTCCCAATATTTTGGCAGTTTTTGAGCCTCTTAAGGCACGTAATAAGGGCAGCAGTGTTCACGGTCAGGCTCATTCGCCTTTTGCTTTTCCAATTAAAAAGTGGAGCCCTGACCTTTAAAAAGGAGAAGAGTCAAAGACTTCATGAATCCCTTGTGACTGACACTGATTTTACGGGGCAAGCATAAAAGAGACAGGTAGTAACATAAAACCTGACCTACAGAGTCGGTAACTGCGGCTGGCAGGACCCTGTTGTTGGAGCATTTGGCTAGAAAACTCTGCTTTCTCTCTTTGTTTCTCCTGAAGTATTACTTTATCTTCCTTGAATGCTGTTTTCTGCTGTCCGAAGTCACAGTGTGCACATGGCATGCCTGCCAGCCTTCAAAGGGAGAATGTTTTTTGGTGTGGCTGTGGCGAAGCACAAAGAACCCACTTTCATAAATATTTTAAGAGCACAATTAAACTATGTATGGAAGAGTGGGAAGGTTTTGATTTGCAACAGTGTCCCCTGGGGCTTTTACAAACAGAGGTGCTGCCTGCAGCTTCTGGCAAAGTTTTTTAATACCAGATGCTCGCAAGATCCTCATTGTATGAACACCGTTATCAAACTGATAATATATACTTTAAGGGTGTTGTTCATCATGTTTTGAACGTGCCAAC